AAAAAAAAAAAAAAAAACAATGACAACTGCAACAACAACAAAAAAAACAGCCGCGTGTTGTGGTGGGCATGTGTAGTCCCAGCTACTTGGGAGGCTGAGGCAAGAAAATTGCTTGAGCCCAAGAGTTTGAGGCTGCTGTGAGCTGTGACACCATGGCACTCTACCAAGGGAGACACAGTGAGAATGTGTCTCAAAAAAATAAATAAATAAAATAAAAGTAAAAATTTAAATTAAAAAGGAAAACTTTCTGTTCATTTGCTGCCTCCGTATCACTCCCAGATCATAGCAGTCCCTTTGCTTGGAACCATATTTCCAGAGTATTTACAAAGTAAAAGTATGGAGCAAGAACACTCAAAGCCCTAGTAAATACCTTAAATAAGTACACACATAACTAAATATCTATTTCACACACTTAATAGTTGCAAGACACCAGAACAGTACACAAATTCAATGTATTTCAATCTGTACTCCATAAATTTAAATACAAACTATGCTTTACGGTTAACATTCCTTCCTTTCCTAACAATGTAAAGATGGAGTAAGAGGCCAATGCATCTATTACTTACAGTTCAGCAACTTCCTGTTCTTCTTCCCAGGCCTCCTTGTGGGTTAGCTGACTGCTTCCAGTACTCTTGCATGTCCAGATGCGCTCACTGTACCTTTCCAAGCGGGCTTCATACTCTCTGTTGGCAATAGCTCAGGAAAACATGCAAGCAACAGAGACAACTAATCCACACTCACAAAATACACATGCAGGTAAAGAAAAAAGAAACTATAGCATCCTTTCTAAAATGTATAGCATAAGACAAAAATGAAATAAAAGTTTTCAAGTGACAAATCCAAAACAAGGGTGACCAAGACTAAAGTCTGATTAGAATGATTTGTCATGTTTTATAAATAATATTTTAGTACAAATGGGATTTCTTCAATTCACTAGTTTCATTTTATAAGACTATACAGTGCTAAAAATTCATAAGAGGCAAAATAAAACACAAGCCAAAAAAGAACTAAGTGAAAATTTGTTAAAAAAACTCATGTCAGCAACTTTATTTTATTTTATTTTATTTTGAGACAGAGCCTCAAGCTGTCCCCCTGGGTAGAGTGCCGTGGCATTACAGCTCACAGCAACCTCCAACTCCTGGGCCCAAGT